AAAATCAACAACAATGAAAAAGATGAAAAGAAAATACATACAGAAGAACGACTCAGCACAGAAAATTAAGTGGAACAAAGAAACTGTCAACAACACACACACACACACACACACACACACACACACACAAACATCAAAATGACAGCCCTAAACTCATCCCTATCAATAATTACGCTGAATGTAAATGGACTAAATGCACCAATAAGGAGACAGAGACTGGCAGAATGGATGAAAAAAACATGATCCGTCCATATGCTGTCTATAAGAAAACTTTCCTGAGGAGTATGTCTCCTGTTTCTTTGGAGAGTTATACTCTCACCAATGACCAGCCAGCTACTGGGTAAGGTGAAAGTAAGTATCCTGCCAACTTTTGCTTTTCTGACTCTTCCTCCTGCTTTTGGCCAAAGAAGGGGCAAATAATGATTCTGCATAGTGGCAATCCTGCCCTTAAGTTATTTGGTGAGGTTCTTAAATACATATATTTGGAAGTCTGGAATATTTTAGATGGAAAACTGGGGCACCATAAGTAATTACCTTTGTTTTGGACAGCTGGGTATGAATGCAGAGAAGGCCCCTCTGATTTACTAGAATTTAGCATAAAATTGGAAAAGAACACTGAACTCAGAGAAAACTGGGTTCTAATTACAGACCTCCCATTTACAAGTGGGGTCCTCACAAAGTCATTGACTCAAAGGTGCCTTAATTTAACTCATCTTTAAGTTGGGAAAAATACCTATCATACTTACCTTAACTATGTTGTGATTTGAAAAGTAAATAACACTTTGCACATGCACAGGTATGTTATTAAACACCACTCTTCATTTACCAAAGGTAAGTTGCTTACATTTTGGATCTTCCAAGCAAATTTGTACTTATATTTATTGACATTGAAGATTGGCTTGCCTTAATCCCTTCTGACTCCCATTTAAGAGAAGGAAGGCCTTAAAGTTGGGTTGATGGAATAGAGTTCCTAGAATCTGAGAGTCTCCCATACTGAAATCTGAGGTCCAAATTACATCCCAAATAGACATGCTTTTAAAATTAAGCCTGTTTAGACTCAAACAGATACATGCACGCCAATGTTCATTGCAGCATTATTCACAATAGCCAAAAGGTGGAAACAACCCATTTGAATGGATAAACAAAATGCAGTATATATATACAATGGAATACTACTCATCCATAAAGAGAAATAAAGTACTGATACATGT